TWWWWTTKKWAMMWTTTTATCAGCAGCCAAAARGATGCATTGGCAATACCTGCATTGATTCAATGGTAACTAAGGATTTGCCACATTTCAGGTACAAGCATGTTTCACAATATTATTAAGAATAATAATAGGATTCAAATAATTGTAATCTTGTTGCACATAAAGCCACACAATCTGCTCATTTTACTTATGCCTATAACATCTGCAAAAATATGGTAGGATTTAAAACAAAAACCAATTRACTAATATTCAAAAGGTGGCACAATTATAACTAATAATTATTAGCTTTTGATCTGATGTCATAAAATCATTTCAAATACTTGCTATACAAAATAATAGTGATGACAATAAGTTAATAGCATTATTGATAGGATATAATATCAATTAGTTAGTAGCCCATTTCTAGAAGCTTCCACAGCATGTATTTGGCTTTGATCACAGAGTTTTTATTGACGTGTCTAATTTGAGATTTTCTCGACAAATCACTAAGTCGCTTCCGCTGTTATGCGCAAACATAAATTCCCAAGAAACCAAAATAAAATAATAAACAAACAATGCAGACCACAGAGAAAGCAAATTTTCTTCCAGTCTTTCTGAAGAAAGCCATGTATCGAAGAAGCTACTACTGAAAAAAAATCTGAAAATCAAAACATSTAMRACAAAAACACACTGACACTCATGTGTTCTTCATTTTTACTATACATCACAGTGGCCATCWTGGAGAAACTTCAACAAAGGATTTCTCACTTAGYATCTATKGTTCATTCCTCCAACATGGCCKCCGGTCTTTTATCTTTTGAATCTCATGGGTAYTCTCATGGGAATGGTTGAAAGCAATCAATAACTATACACTGTATGAAGGTTCCTAGTAATGGGCTCCTGGAATAGCATTACCGTATCATTATTCTTGAATTATAGTTTATACTGGCAAACATTTTGAAAAACCACTGAATGATTGAACAGTTTAAAAATATAACTTAGTTGCATTGATTCTGACTCCTGGTATTCTAAAGATGAATAAATATGGATCAGCTCTCTATATAAATTTGATATGTATGGATGACACTCATAAAGTA